GATAAGTGCCCACATACTTCAGATTGAAGTTGGGCGATATCACAACATAGATGTCTTAAATAGAACATGCCCTGTCTGTGACTCCAATGAAATTGAAGATGAAGAACACTTCCTCTTCAATTGTAACCAGTACAAATTTGAAAGAGATGCTTTGTTTGAAAACGTAAACTTATCCGGTAATCTGAAAGCACTTCTCAATAACAAAAATTCTGAAACCGTCCAAGCAATTGCCAAGTTTATCAGCGACTGTTTCAATAAAAGAGAGAATTTCATGAAAAGCAATTTACCAGCTGCCTCAAAATAACACCAAAAAATATTTATATAATAATATTTTCACAGTATTACTATTTATTTCTTTTTTATTATTATTATTACTTATGTATTTTATTGTTCCTTATATCCTTATTGTATTCTAATCTAGATCCCAGAAGGGATACAATATCAATAAAGGTTGTTATTATTATTCATGGTGAGAACACTGCATGTAGCTGACGAATAAAATAAAACACATTAAGTAGCAAACTAGGTACTCTTAGCAGACTTGTTAAATGACAAACGAATGTCTTTCTGTTTTTTTCTAGGAGAGGAATACTTACCTACCATTAGCAGAGAGTGGAAGCACGTTATTCTTTGTGATCAGTGACTTGGCTAAACTTAATAACATGTATAGGTTTAGTCTTGGTGCATTTCTGAGACTTTTCCAGAGAGCGTTACAGGCCAGAACGGTAAGTACCGGTACAAATTGTAGCTATCCACTCTGATTTGTAATGCTATGCAGAACTCACTTGTAGGTGAGAATAATTATCTGCAATTGGATCAGATTAAAGGTTATTTAAAACAAAGCAAGATATACAGTACAGTCCGAGTGTAACATAGCATTGAGCTAGTTTAATGCTGGCTTAAAGCTACATTGTAACTCAACTTTCTTTAAAAACCATCAAATCTGTAAATTGTGTAGTTGTAATGTGCCTAAATATGTCTTATATTGATAACTTGAGTAATTATTACAAGGAATAATTTGAAATTATTGTTGACACTGAAATGCCTAATATTAAAAATATTATGATAGATGTTTTGATTGACTTGGTGTCTACATGATTAAGGGTGATCTAGAATGCATGACAATAGATGTGTTTTGAGTTATAACACCATCAGTTGGTTGGTTTGATTTCTAGCTTAAGCTGGTCTCCTTGATTCCTGGAATTAGGATGAGCTATCAAATATTTATGTGGCAAAATCGCCCTACGCGGGCAAAATTTGAACATTTTATGGCAGAGCGCACAAGTTCCTAAGGTAACAGCGGAACTTCACAATGTGCCCCTATCTTGCCCCTATGAGTATTATACAAAGGGGCCCTCCTGCTGTTATTTGTCTGCCTCCCCTCATTTTCATCTAACATACATGTCACTATAAATAACAGTTTTGTCCAGCTGTTTACATTATTTCTACATCACATATTAATTAATAAATGTGTATTGAGATGTATTTGATTATTTTATTTCACAGGATGGTAGTAGTACTGAGATGCGGATAAAAACACTCAGTAGTTCACTACAGAACCTTGTCTATGAATACGTATGTAGATCATTATTCAAAGCCGACAGGTTGATGTTTGCAATGCATATGGTACATGGTACTTACAGAAACATGTTTGAAGAAAATGTAAGTGCTGGCTTCATTCATAGCTTTCATTCTGTTCTTTATTACCTTTTAGTGCTACTTTATTTTATGATGATTGTATTCAATATTAATTTACATTCAGTTATGGGTGTGGCTAACTAATGGAAAAGTGTTGAAATTTAAAAGTTTTTGATACTTTGTAAAGCAGTGGATTCCATCAAATAAATGAAAAACAAATAACAAAAAAGTCAGTGAAAATGTTAATATTTTCTCATAGCGTTAAGCTGTACTCTGGAGGAACATTTTGACTTGCATATTGCTCATAGTACTGTACCTTTAAATACCACTTGTGGTTCATAATTCTAAAACTAGCTAGTTCTTTCTGATAATCTGCAGTCCCCCAGGAGGTTGTTTTTTGGTTGGTTTAGGTTCATAATGTCAGGGGTTATAAGATCAGCAGACTTTTACTTTGACTTTGAAATAACTAATTACAAAGAATAAATTCTATGTCAAAAGTTTGCTTGCCACATCCACCCTTACATGGTGAGGTATGAGTTGAACATGTATCCCTGATGCATCACATTGTGGAAAATATATATATGGGATATACTTTACTTAGAAGATGGTTTGTCATTAATACATACATCTACCCACTTTATTTATTTTCTTATCAGGAGTGGGAAACTTTCCTTGGTCTGATTGTATCTGATGTGAAATCTGACATGTCAAGACACTCCAGAGAAATGCCATCTTGGATAGATCAAGAAAGACACACTGCTGTAACACTGCTAAAGGTATACCAGCTTACACTGTGCATGGAATACTTGTCACATTATATCTGCTAAGCTAATAGTTTATGTAATGAATACTGTGATAAACCATAGACCCTCTGTTAGAGGGTCTATGGATAAACACATCATATTATGTACATGTTTATTTTCAGACTACTTTCCCAAACTTCTATCAAACTCTATGCCTGGAAGACAGTGATCTGTGGCTGTCATTCTCCCGGAGTTCTCAGTGTGAACAGGAATTCCCACCAGCCTTGCTGAAGAAAATTACACCATTCCAACAGGTATATATTTGTAGTGGGGGTTATTACACTCATACATGGTCATATTGCATCAAATTTACTTGTGAACTTTATATTTTAGTGGTCCATGGAGCATCTATAACTATGAAGTGAAGTGACAAAATAACAAGATCATGAGTCTATTTAGTTTGAAAATTAAGATTTATACTTTGTGTTCCGCTTTTAAAATGTTATTTTTTTAGGCCATGATTTTACTGATTGTGTTGCTACAAAGATGAAGACATATTGATACAAAATATTGAATATAAATGCCAGCCAATTTTATTCAACACCAACATGATTAGCAATGATATAAATTTGTTTGCTGAAATCAGTCACTGCACAGTACCCTGGTACTCAGTGTAAATTTCTGCTTATGCTCCTTAGGTATTAGTGGTACAAGCAATAAGACCTGACAGACTACAGAGTGCTATGATTCTATTTGCATCAAGATCACTTGGTGAGTTGTTCTCAATTAATTGAAACATAATCACAGAGTTATTCAGTAAATAGCAATCTAGCTGTGTATACATTAATTGAAACTGGTGTAAAGGCTGTTGTTTGTTCTTGGCTCAGAATTAATATCCTACCTAGGATTGAGCACCACAATACATTGACCCAGCCTATAGGGTATGGTCCACATTTGATGCAAGGATAGTTCACTGAGTTGGTTACTGTGGATGTGTGAATGAAAGGAACACCTAATTACTAACATCGTCAGAAAACTTTCTAACAAATCACCTGATTCAAACTGGGGTCTGAAGATACTTTTAGAGAGGGGCATGATCGGTATATGAATTTTCCATAATACTGTTTATCGTGGTTGTACTTGTACATTATAATTTATTTCATTTAAAATAGCGCAAAACGAGAAAATATACAAACATTTGGCATAAAGTACTTGACAGTGCGCTCATCTCAGTAAATACAATTGCCTCCTTTTGAGAATGAGGTGGCCCAAAGTGTTTCAAATCGATAACGATCTCCAGATATCAACCTAGGTGATTTGTTAGCAAGTTTGCTGACGATGGTAGTAATTAGCTGTTTCTTTTATTCATGCATCCACCGTAATAACAGTTCAGTCGTATATACTTGTAATCCTAAACATAATATATATAATTTTGTAGTAAATCATACAGCTTGTATATGCAATGTATGCAGAAAATATTGTTGTTCAAACTATTAATACTATTAATAATGTAAGAGAATGAGAGGTATTGGTACAAACATGACACTTACTGGTGCATGCTACCATGTAATTCTTATCCTCTGTAGAATGGATCTTAGACACAAATGGTTGCTTTGATATTTTTTGAAAGCGAGGAATCCACAAGACTTGTTTTTTCCTCTTAAATAGCATTTTTTTTTTCTCTTGTTATCAAATCCACTCCTCCGAATACCATGGTTACAGTGGATGTGCTGATGAAGCAAATAAGACTATTTTAGACGTCAAAATCAACTATTGTGATTCATTCTCAAAAAAATGAACTATTTATACAATGATAAATTGATATTAATTTTACAGGAATGAAGGAGTTATCACCACCAGCATTGAACTTGAAAAGATTACTAAATGAGACGGTCTCTACAGAACCTATCTTGATTATCATATCACCTGGTGCTGACCCATCTCAAGAACTATTGGAGTTAGCTGATGAAGTCGTAGGACCTGAACGATTCCATCAAGTAAGACAATACATCACTCAATACTTTTCTGTCAGAGAGAAAATATTGTCTTAGAAATTAACTTTGTTCTCTTTTGAAATATCATGGAGACCTATTGTTTATTGTGCATTAATGATTGATTGTACCTTATTTTTGATGCGCTGTTTTGCCTTTTTTCGTCAGAAAAGTCCAGATTTTTATTAAAGATTTTTTTTGATAGGTTGCTATGGGTCAAGGGCAAGCTGACATTGCTATGCAATTACTGCACGAGTCTGCTCGTAATGGTGAATGGTTGTGTCTGAAGAATCTCCATTTGGTAACAAGTTGGCTGCCATTGCTGGAGAAGGTACGTGTCACAGAGTGAAGTCATAACAGACAATGACTCCAGGAATTAGGGTTGCACTCATTGTGTGTCTGATTGTATTTCCTGGACATGCATTATTGGAAAATCTGTATCAAAAGCTGTGGCTTCTATTAAAATGTTACAATATAATAGAAGGGGTGTGGTTTCTATAGGGCATACACACATATGAAAAATTGGGATTTTTTGTTGCTCAATCGTTGAAAAACAATGGTTTCAATGTATTTCATGATGCGGCTTCTAATACATATTTTACAGTCAATCAGATTAAAATAAAAAAAAAAACATTAGAAAGATCTTGTTGCTCTTTTTTTTTACAATCAAGTTTTTTTATGATCAACTACAATCATATTCATTTGATCTGCATGAGTGGGTTGTTTGCTACATGAAGTTTGGAGTCAATTTCTGTTGATAAAACAAGAGTCACAATGTATGATTTGAATCAATACAACCAATGTCAATGTACAATCTTATTCGTTATTTGTAGTGATGACTGTTTCAATTGATATTAGTGAACACTGCACTTTGAAACAATGTTGCACTTTGTTCAGGAAATATTTTGATACATTGTTCCAGAGTTTCTTTCATGCAGCTCAAATGGTTTTGATTGGATGATATCCACATGTAAGTTAGCCGTGCATTACTCTCTTCATCAATGTGTGCACTATTTGTATTTTCCCAGGAGTTGAATTCTTTAGAACCGCACCAAGAGTTCCGTTTGTGGGTAACTGCTGAGGTCCATCCCAAATTCCCAACAATTCTTCTGCAGTCAAGTCTCAAAGTTACATATGAGGTGAGAGACAATCATATAATGTTAAATTATTCCACACAAATCATATGGAAGCATGTATGTTGATGTATGTTTCCAGTTTTTATGCTTTTAAATAGCATACATTTCCCTTTGAATAGCATGTTTGTTCTCGCCAACATTACGATGCAATATTTTGTATATTAGTTTGTACTTTTCTATGACTTTATTAATTTTGGATAAAATTTCCCATTGCTCTTGATTTAACATTTTTCAGAAAAAAATATTAATAGAAAAAATGAGAAGTTTATTTTATGAAAGTTTTCTTTGAAATTTATGTCAAGCTTACAGTAAACATCCGAAAGAAGCTGCACATAATTACTTCCATAGTTAATAAAGTCTTAGAGTTTACTAAATTCAATGTTAGAATTGTGAATTGTGTACTCTGTGTTCATGGGACTGACAGCATGCTGACATAATACTACTTTCAGGCACCTCCTGGTATCAAAAAAAATCTGCTGCGTACATATGAATCATGGTCACCAGAATTCATTGCTAAAGGCAGTAACCCAGTGAGAGCACAAGCTTTGTTTGCGTTGGCGTGGTTCCATGCAGTCATGCAAGAAAGGAGAAACTACATCCCGCAAGGATGGACCAAATTCTATGAGTTTGCAATGTCTGATCTGCGTGCTGGAGCTGATATCATTGACAGACTAGGAAGTAGCATTGGTGAGTTCCAAACATTTTACTATTCAAAATGGTCCTTCATGTAGTAATGAAATCCATGGAAGAAAACTATAATAATATAGTACAAGGTAATATCAATAATATGACAGTTGCAGTAATGCTTTGTCCAATTGGTGTCCTCATGGGCATAAGGCAACCATCGTTATCACGCATATTTCTGTGTAAATTTTCAACCTCTACCAGATACTGCCTGTTCTTGGGACTACCCTATCGGGTTTGATTATTGCCCTTACCTATAATTTCTGTGGGTGTGATCCATTACACTTTATTATTTTTAGCAATGTGGCAACTGGCAATGTGGTTCCAATCTTCGCTCATTCTTGTATTATTCTGCAGGCAAGGAAGATCCGTGGAAGTTTGTACATGGTTTATATGAGAACGCCATCTATGGTGGAAGAGTTGACAACCCGTTTGATATGAGAGTACTGATATCGTACTTGGAACAATACTTCAACAAGGAAGTGTTGTCTGGCAGTGGTTCACGTGGCAGAGGCAAACGACTGGTGTCTAATATTAATCTACCTGGTACCTGCCACTACAGGGTAAGTCTGTTGTCAGTGCCTCCCCAACCCCTGTGTGTCTGTACTGTATTTGCTCTATTAGTAACATATGCGCTTATGTAATGAGAGGTGTATTTAAGTCTATTAGAGATGCACTTCTTATAGAGCAAATACAGTATTAATTATTCAGAGTATAAATTTTGATATTGCCATTGACTGTGAAATAATTCAAAATCATTTATTTTTTTTAACCTTTTCGATTTAAGCCACATTTATCTGCACATTTTTCTTATATTCTTCAATATTTCTGGAAATGAACCCTAATTTTGGGGTCAAAATTTAAGCCAATTTTTAGTTTTTTGGTCAAAAAATTTTGTTATTTGTTTTCCAATCTTCTGAAAGAAAGTGCAGACTATAAACGCGACTATATTGTGAATTTCTAATGAAAAGAGGGAACTAGTGGTGAAATGGTTAACACTATACTGCAATTCTAGCTCCCAGCTTCTTTCAATATGTTATAGTTATTAAATTGTGACAGATATTCTCACTGGTAATTAATTGTCTTGTTTCATTTTTTGGTAGGATTATGTAGATTTAATACAATCTCTACCTGAGGAGGATAAACCCCAGTATTTTGGTTTACCAGCCAACATAGAAAGATCAGCTCAGCGTACAATCAGTATACAAGTCATCTCTCAGTTGAAAGTATTGATGAGATCTGATGTAGCAGAGGGCAAGTTCGATAAAGAGAAATGGGCCAATGAGTTGACTCCTATACTTAATCTGTGGAAGAAGCTGAATCAGGTAACGGTCGATTTCTGTTAAATTTCTGGCACTAAATATGTCTTAAATATCTCTATAATCTGAGCAATGATAGAGTGTCTGTAAATTTTGTTCAACTTGCATCATGAAGGTTTGTGGGTTTGATTCTCGGAGCCGAGACTCAACAGTATATAAAATCAAGTACAGTCTTTCCTATGTTCCAAACATGTATTATTAATGTTTGGGAGACTGATTTGCATGTGCACTTGCATTTAGCCCCGAATACAGCTGAGACAGCATTGACTTAAATGTCACCTGGCACCATGATATTTACATGTATAAAAAAAATCCGAAGTTAATACGAGAGAAATTGAAGTGCTGACCTGTAGGAACTCTACAGTTACCAGTATATATGCATGCCAGTATTTCTATTTATATAACATTATTTACCGGGAAGTAGTAACACATACTACTATTACCGGGATATTTTGTGTGGACAAAATAAAATGACTTAGGTCATTTTTGTTTAACCAAGATTGCAGTGGTGCCCTACTACATTCATTGATGACATTGTCCCAACTGTATTCACCAATTCAAATCTATTCAGTTCTCCTCCAGTCCTATGGTGGTAAGTATAATATTATCCAACTACTCAATATGTGTCATGTGTTTATTTCCCATACCAGGGTTCCCACTTGATACAGATGAAGGTTGAAGCACCAAGTGATAAGACTGGCAATGTGGCTCCTATCAATTCATTTATCCAGTTAGAAAACTACAATGCTGTTAAGTTGGTTCAGTTTGTGCATTCTACTCTAGCTAGACTCAGTAAAGTTATCCGAGGTACCATGTTATTGACAACTGAAGTACAGGCGATGGCTACATCCTTGCTTAAACAAGAGGTAAGAAGCTATAGCAGCCTGATTTTAATTTCACTCAAAAAGTAACAGTTATTCTGGCACATGTGTACATTTTAAAATACCTGACAACTGGAGTTCAGGATACTATGACTTGATTTTCTAGTATACTGTAATATAGCTGGAATTAATTCTCGCTGAAAAGAGATTTTGGGTGTTTTGTATGGAATTTATTTTCACTGATTTTTGATCAGTTGAATGTACGGTAATATATAGGGAAAATGGTATATTCGCTGGATTTTATTTTCACTGAATCATCCCTTCAGCGAAAATAGCAAAAATTAATTCCAAGCACAATAAAGTATTTTACAGTATTCTAATACTTGTTTACCCTCAGCCATGGTAAAACTTGTTTCTGCACACACAGTCATTTTTAGTATTACCAAAATAGTCATCTATGTGATTGTAATTGGCTCGCATATAATATAATCTAGAATGGTTTCCACATTTTAAATAATGAACAAATAATAGTGTATGCTGATTAGTTACTGATGAGTCAGAGGAATGGTACTGCATTTGTTCTCAGACTATTAGCATATCTACTTATTTACATTTAATTTACAGATGTGTTTCTATGGGCAGAATAAGGCATATTTTGATGATTCAGGATACAATAAATTAAATTTTTGGTTTATATGCGCTTATTGGAGATGCTTTTATTTAAGAAAATACAGTAATGTGATTCTTTTTGAAGAATAACCACCACTGCTGCTCACTAATTTTACCTTCCTTTCCAGACACCAGTCAGCTGGCTGAGTAAATGGGACGGACCTGAAGACCCAATACACTTTCTCAGATCATTAGTAGCCCGTACAATGGCCATACAGAACTGGGTAGAAAAAGCTGAGCATGGAACATTATTGTCCAGTAGTTTAGATATGTCTGATTTATTTCATCCGGATACCTTCATAAATGCTCTTAGACAACAAACTGCTAGGTGAGTGTTGCAATTCAAATTTATTTAAATACAATTTGACATAAAAAAATTATAAAATACTACATTCACAAGAGTCATATAGTGAACGTCAGAAAGGTGTACCTAAAAATTTGGAAATACAGATCTGCTTTCATTCTAATTGAAATATTTAATGTTTGGCTCAAGAACTCAATGTTGTCTACACCCATCAAGTGACAAAGCAACTGCGACCTGTCACTTGATTAGAATGAAGCGCTTGCTGACTGGATGATGTAGAGAACACTCATTAATATTATCATTTTTTAGTCCCAGTTCAAATATCAAGCATTTCTAGCATTTATGGATGGATTTTGTTCAAACTTGGTACATACATTAGACATTACGGGTTCCTGATGCACGTTATTTTATTTTTTAGATCTGATTCAGATTGGCTGACTAGTGGCCATTTTGTTTTGTAGAATGGGCTTCTAGAGCCATATCTCTGACATGCTTTGACTGACTATGTTCACATTTTATATATTCATTATACATGTATTCAAAATGGCTGATTTTGTTTTAATTAGCTAATGCTGTTCCGGAGTAATATCTCTCAATACTTGTTTGACGATCAGATACAAATGTCAATCATTTAAATGTTAAACAATCATCATAATCATATTCCTGACATGTTTATATTTTCCAGCTATATTACTATAAACAAAACTATATATCTTAAATTCGATAAGTAACGGGGACTGTGCCATGCATGACTTGTAGATTTTGGATCTTTAAAGTCAAAGACATCTTTAATTAGAAATTCACCAATGTTTCCACGACACGATTTATAAATAGTAGTTTAAGTATTATTTTAGTCTTCTAAACATGATTTGAGTGACTTAGGTTGTTCTTGTTCCTCTTCACCTTCATTTGTGCGTTATGTATTTCAACAGAGAGACTAAGACCTCCATGGACAATTTGAAATTTGCCTGCACATGGCAAGGTGGAATATCTGGAGCCAGAACACAAGTAAAAGTATGTATACATATTCAAATTGATATAACAGGGTTTATAATAAAGTTTAGAGCTCACTTTCTACTAATATCAAAGACTAAACATGTACAATATATATATGTATGTACATGTACTGTGAATCTTGTCATTCTGATCAAAGATGCATATACACCGATATTAATGAATACATATTTTTCGTCTTTAGGTGAGTGGTCTACAGCTAGAAGGGTGTACATTTGATGGTAGACATTTATCTGAGAATCAGAGAGATTCCTCCAGTGTATCAGCTATACCTGAATGTACAGTTGCTTGGATAATGAAGGTAAAGATCTTTTATTACCTAGAATGATACATTTCCATTCAACTTTGCTGTTATATATGTAAGATATTATAGAAGTGCATATCGACAGAAGTGCACATAAATCCAATGCATTTATTTCCTGCTTGACTAACTGTATGATAAAATATGATTTATTTTGACATTCCTTTTGTCACTTACATGTATGTAAATAACTACTAGTAAAGCAAATAAAGTACTGCAATTTCTCATTAAGACAAATAAACAAACCAGTTGCCTAGCATTGTCACACTGTAAACCGCATAATTTTCACTGATAGGAATCTTCCTGATTTGATAATACTATGGTATTCGTGAAGATACAATTTTTCAAAGTCGCTAACACTCCACTTTGTATGACCACAGCAAAATTTTCACAACTTGTTTCACTAACTTGTGAACATTTGTCCTGGTTCACAGTATCTATCACAACAACAAAAAACAAATTAAAATGATTTTATTTACAGTATAAGTAGAAATGTGCTTTTGCAGGTTCTGATTCATCTGTTTGGTTATTGATTACATGTATTGAACAAACCAATTGCAAATCATCATGATTACCTTTTTATGGCCGATTACATTGCTCACCATTGTAATCAACACATCACCTGCTGAAAGTTTTCATGAATAGTCAATATGAGTGGTAGATAATAGCATCGCCAGGCAATGTTTTATGAGTATATGGTGATTCTGGCAAGTATACTACGAGGTTATTATGAGGACCTCTTAATAACCATATTATTATACATCTTTCCTTCCAAGGATACATCATGGGAATATCCAAAATGTTTAGAACAGAATTAGCAAACTTCATTGTGTGGAGTCCGGTCAAACCCTGGTGGCAGCCATGTTTGTTTGTTTTTATTATTAGAGGATGCTTAAGTGCGTAATCATTGCATATTTGGAATTGGCATTTCCTAATATGGTACATGTAGAATGAAAATACCCTGTAAAATACCGCAAAATTATGGCACGCTGTAACTTATGGCGTTACGGTGACAGATGTATATAATAAATGTTATTATCTCTGCTACAGGATATGCCGAATCCGTACAACCTGGATGAGTGTATATCTCTACCTATATACTTCAGTGCTGAACGTGAGAAGATTGTAACTCATTTGAATATACCATGTGGTGGTGGCCAATACCAATGGATTCAGACTGGGGCAGCTCTGTTCTTGAAGAGTCAATAAAATATATGCCGCTCATTACAGTGATGTAGTAATAATTTCATTCGATATATGTATTACTTATCATGATTGCTGTTTCTGTACTCTCCATACTTGCTTGATTTGTTTTTTTTGCACTTTGTACAGTTGTCTTATTAATGTTACTTGAGTTTCACATTCTGAACAAGAACTAAAACAACATATTCATTTGTATATAAATGATCCTTGAATAATATGATTGTAAATTTATGAATATTCATTTGGTACCGCTATATATTTTGATGGTTAGTGAATTTCACTGTAAATATGTATGCTTGTATAATAATAGTCATTGATTTCCTTGGTAATCCGTGCATTCAAATCTAAAACAAATGTGTCTGAAACATCAAATTTATTATGTTGATGTTCAATGTTGATATATTCGACAGAACTGTAAATAAACTCTGGATTATATGGGACTATATATAGTCAGTCTGTAAATGGTATCAATTAATTGAACTCTTTCACTGAAGACTGTATAAATGTGATCCTGAGAATGAAAATGTAAAATCTGATGAATATTTATATTCGCTGTATATTTTGATTTGTGATATGTACAGGTGATGTTTTCTGTCACAATTAGTGCTAAATTTTGGGTTATATACATGCAAATAAAAGAACTCTTATCATGCCATGTCATTTTAAAATTTATAGAAAAATGATTGTATGTGCAAAATGATAGAATATATGTTTTATCATCTCATCTTACAGTCTACTCGTTGTCAAGAAGTTTTGTCTAATGACATAATGCCCCACCTGATAATGTAACCATGTTTTTGATGTGAACAGACATTTCCAGAAGCTGGCTGACCAGATTAATTTTGTATGATGTCAAACCAATATGACACGCTAGTGGCAAGCTTTGTTCATTATGTCGCTATATGGTTGTATGCAAGGACGAATGTTGTTTACAGTTGGCTTATAAATAGTTTTTTCCACGAAAATTTGTCATTTTTATGTTGACACTAGCAATTACTGGCACTGTTTATGTGCAGTTAGGTCTGTATATCTTAGACCAGAGTTGGTTATTCCATCAGAGAATCAGTCTATACCCAGACTTTTTAATAGTTTACCCCAATTGCTGCATCACTGAGCTTGATGGGTGACACTTTCAAAATCAGTTCTTAAAGTCAACAGCTTGAAAATACAGCTCTGTAATTTCCAGTCTGTTATCTTCATGCTTCATTCTAGTAGTGCTCTATTGCTGAGCAGTTATTGCTGTGAAGTTGTCACCAGTACTACGTATATTGCTTATTTGTGTGTTGCTTTGTTTCAAAAACCAGGTGTTCATTTCAATTCGCTTTAACTTATAAGTTACACACTAAGAAAACTGCATGCATGCTTTCTAACTGTTTTTTTTCCAGTGATTTGCAGGATGAGGGTCTTATCTGTGGTTGATTATAAGTGTTTCTCTTGCTGTGAAATCTGCATTGATTGGGATTCTGATGTTTGGAAGATCGATGATTATGTTTTCATGGAGCTAAATTGGCAACGAAAAAGAAATCCCAATGCCTCCCTGCTCATTCTGTTTGTAATGCCAAATGTTAGAATTGAGTTATATCTTATAATCAGTCAACTCATAAAAAATCCTTTCATCATTGAATTAGGATTATGACTGTTCCCACTCACTTTACTATTGTATTTGTGAAAAGTCTGCAATGAAACAGTACTTCCTAATGACCTGTCTGAGGCTGACTAACGACAGTGGTGAAGTTTCACTCAAAAGTAACCATGACAAAGACATTGCTACCAATATGCATACTGTTATAGTCTTCATCCTGGGAAATAAGTTCACTAAATCATGCCCACCTCCTTTTTGGTCAACATTCACCATGTCCAGTCATACCAGCTGAAGAAGTTCTGACATTGAGTGAACTACCTTGGTCAGGTCATCTGTTTGACACAACCCCAACTACTCAACGTGTGTTGAAAGCTGTTCATCTGTTGGTTGGGTTTGCAATTGTTTAAAGTCAGATCATACTGAGGTACAAGCAGTGGCGTCATCCATTCTCTGTAATTTATCTGCACATCTACCAACACTGGAGTCTGCTATCCCTTGTGTTGATCATTGTTATCCATTGAGCAGTAAGGCTGCCCCAAGTTTCACATCTCATTCTGTTTCAAACTGGTTTGATGTCACAATACATTGTATGTGTTGCTAATTTTTGTGTGCTAAGGAACCATTGGATGAAATAGTTCATGTGACGCGTCAGCACCTTTGTGATTGTTTTCACTGCATACCGATAATACTGACGCCCATATGAAGCTTATATTAACTACATATTTTTGTTCTTTCGAGCTATGTCAGCATCCTTTATTTCATGTTTTTGTCATATTACCTCAAACCCTGAAAATGGAAGTGTGCATGGAATCATGGGAAGAAACTGTGTGCATTGTGGTTACTGTCATAAAGGTGATTGACAGGTCATACTTGTTTTCAACTCTGGATATGAAACTTTCTGGTGTAATAAATTCCCTCTCATTATTTACTGAGAATGCATTAATAAATAAAGTTTATGCTAGAAACATTCCCAGAACTGTTGCTTCTGAGAAGGATTGTCATCCCAGAGAAGTTCCAACAGGCAAAGGTAAACGCAACAAGGAAGGAGGTAAGGCTAAGGGAAATTCCTGTAAATCTATTACTAGTAAGTCATATTCCTCTGTATCAAGGTGGGGATTACTCATCACGTTCGAGCTACCACGTTTGGGCACACATTTGTTACCTCCGCCCCATCAGACCATCTGAAAGCAGTCTACATGCAAGTCTGTGTCAACTGAGAAGAAAATCAACTACAGATCCATTTGCAATATTAGTAATAGAGTGCGCATATCGTTACTCTTCCACTCTCCACTGCCCCAGAACTGTCGCCTCCATTTGGGTTTTTCACAAGCACCAGGAGCCGAGACACTTCTTCATTATTGGAATGATTCAATTAATTTTGGTAAACAAGACAACACGATTACTTTAACCTTAATTTCTTTAATCTAAATGTCTTACTTTTGTAGCTTTATAGTTCCTAGTCGTACGTCAGTGTTGTGTCAATAAAATATTATACATTCTACGACAGGTCATCATAACTTTGTATTCGCCGTACCTATTCGAATTGGATATAACGGCCACACATTTACATGAGATAAGAACGGCAGGGAACTGCTCGCATTCATGACTATACAATAAATCAGCTGGGCATGGTGGTTGGTTCCTGTTTACCACTATTACGATGACCTGTTTAATATGAAATACACAGCAACGAGGTGCATTAATCAATATCCTATGATTACTGAAAACGAAAATGGTCGCGTGGATCAGAAAAGTGATAATTTCAATTTCATTATTAATATTTCGACATTATTAGTATTCGTTCGTTTAACAAATGTGAAAAAAATGTTATTAGTGTGACTGCCGAAACAAAATTAGCGCCCGTGCGTATTGAATGTTTGTTTTATTATTTTTTTCCTCGTTTCATTTAACGAAGTATTAATTAATTAGTTAATTATTGATAGTTCACTCAAGTACTCAGGCTATCATCATGTCAAACTGGATATCATATCTCACAATTGATTTTTGCACCACGGCTATTTTCGAATTAATAACTAAATGACTGTTCCGAAATATCCGAGGTAATATAAAACGTGGAATGTCTTGAAGTATGTACATCTTCTAATGTTCGATACGATTATCGACTGCTATTTGAGCTACTCGCAGTCACAGTCCCACTTTTCCCCCTCACTCCAATATACACCCACCCACCCTCTCAATTCACGACAGGCGTCGCGGAAATTATTTAAATGGAAGTAATTTAACCGATGCGACGCGCTTTCGATTTGTAGGTATGTTACAACAGCCACCGTAAAAATGATGCATGGTAAAATTGTAGACCATTCGACCACCTAAATAATGGTCGATCTCTAAATATCACTTCAGAGCTCCAGACCAATGAAATGTTTTGTGATGCGCCCTCAACTAACAGAACGTTAACATATTTGTCGTCATTGCAAGAGGGCGCCTGTTTACTCACTGTGTAAGTGTAGTAACCACGTGTGGCGAAAAAAGTATGAAATACATCCCTTCAAATATGCATACAGGCAGATAAAATGAGGCTTGTAGTAGAGAGAGCAGCGTACCATTTTCGAGTGCAAAATATTGAATAAAATGTGGAGGCAGTGACAGTGTAACTCCATACCAGGGGCATTTTTATAGACCTAGACATAGACAACTTGTCTGTCCATCAATCATTACTAGAATCACTGACCAATCACCTACAATATACACTTGTGGGGTCATTGGGTTGCTGCTCCCAATCAGAATTGTGGAGCAACATGTGTTAGCATAGCTGGCTAATGAACATCGTAATAATTGTAGTGGATTGCTTCAGTTGGTAATAGACATTCTACAATCCAATCCATTACAATCCAACTCATAGTTTCATCATGTATCAACTCATAAAGTGATACTGCAATTACAGGCTGTCGAACTTTGATAAAAAAGTATCATACCATTGAAGCAATGCAGAGCAGCAAGACCATCTAAAAACAGGCATTTCATTGATTACCCTCACCTCGGGGATTGGTTTCAAGCCTTGATGTGTGAGGATATTTTCCACATAGCTGAGATAATTAAGCTTTAAGAAAACTTGGTCTATCCAATGCTTGATTTAAATGATCATTATGGTCATCATTGCCGTTACCTGCCACTATAATATCGATATTTAGAAAATATCGGTTCTATTATGCGCTTATATTCCTCAGTTGCTGAATTTATACAATTATACATGTATAGATATATAAATTTGACATTTGCTGCTACTTCATCAACAGTGTGCATGGGTCAATATAGTCACTGAATTGCCCCGATAAGACTCCTAGGGTCTAAATATATTCTGTTTTCATTGCTACACTAAATGACACCCATTTAGTAGGCTCTGTTACATGTACTGATTACACGTATGCTGGTCCTTCTATACAACTTTGATTTAGCCAGGTTATCCATTGTTTTAGATATTCTAAGAACAGGTTTAACCACCGTGGACACTTGGATCTCTTCTCATATTGTACACACAAGGCGGTTTTTCATCGAGGAGAAGATCTTGATGTCTTGATGAATTAACAAATTGCATTTTCGAATATTCTCCAAAATACGTTATAACCACTGAAGACATTTAATACAATGTTTGTTATGCATTTTTATGTAACTCGTATGTCGCGTATTCGGCGTTCCTATACGTTTGCCCTTGGTATCACAAAATACCAACAACATTCATTTTCAAGTTCTTCCCAAGATCCATACTAAATATATTAATCCTCAGTGTGATTCGATACACTTTTAATATAAAATTCAAAAAAATCCTTGTTTCCCAATTTTTACAATAACTATTGGTTTCATGTTTAAAAAACGATATATGAATTATTATTCGCGTAAATTAAAAAAAATCTATAATACAAAATTAATACCGTTATTAAATTAAGTGATTAAGTGACATCCATGATGTGGGGTGTTTTAAAACAGTTTGAGTCGGTCACAGGAAGATATGAGAGACAATGTAAATTATATTTGTATATGAACATCGATTAGTTTCTTAAAAAAATATACAAAAAAAGTAAAAACAAATGAACACAAACAAAATTAGTAACTTTGTATACATAGAAGATAATCACTATTATGTATTTTCACACAATTGATAGCTGAACATGATTAGATGTGCAGATCTGGTCATTTCGTGGGCATCCGTTAAAATATAAGTTAAAAACTTTTCGACATATGGGGCAATATGGTTTCTTCTAGCAATGTTGGAAGTTCTTTTCGGTGGCTTAAGCTTGAGTTCCTGGTACACGAACTGTTTTAGTTGTATGTTTACAGCGTTTACAAGTTATTTGTTTCGACTTCATTTTTAATGTTAAATGTATATGTGCGTATTAATTTTATATTCGACAAATGAGCTGTGCTTATCATCTGCATATAGAAATCCGACACCATTAATGAAATTTTAGCATATTTATCGCGTCAAGTCCAAGTGTTTACATGGTTGTATTGAAGAAACCAGTCTCAGTCGTCACACCAGCCAACTGGGAAAGATAATCTGCCAAATATACGGAGCAATTGACGGGTGAAGACGTTGGGGTGATCACCTCGGTGTTGTTGGCCCAGTCTGGTAAAGTGCCGAGGTCGAATTGGTAATAACCATTCGTATTGATACTCAGGTTGACGACCAGAATACACAATATATTCATAAGTAGTCCGGCAGTTACCTGTAAAAAATTATCATTATGGCAAAACATTACTACAGTAGGATGACATACGATTTGTAGACAGCAAGGTTTTGAATACAATGTACCAACGATTAAATCAATTATGACAAACACATATACCGACATACTAGTAAGTGAATGGACATCAGAAATAAGGCACGCCCTCTAGCGACGTGTCAATTACGTGACGTAAAGTAACGTAGATAGGCGAGACTGGGGTGCAAAAATACTCCTGCTTTGTCATAGCTGAAAATACAAACATGTCAGTTCGCTGATAATCGATAAAGGGAATTTTTGTAACATCGATTGGTGCACCCAGAAGCCCAATATCACGCATGCACGTTCACGTTACACCCAAAAATGCCGTATCTTCGACTTCCGGGAAAGTCGTCTTTAGGAGCGAGAAAAGCCGTTAAAATTGGTAACTGTTTGGTTTTTCAGATAATTGTCATTTAGCATACAGCAAATCTATAAAAATGTTAGTTGTGTATTTACGGTGTGAACGACGTCACTTACGTCCAGTCAAGTCATAAAAGCGAGTCGTCGTCACTAAAGGGCGCGACAGTGTTCTAAAAAAAGGAATTCACTCGTGTGATGTAACTCATGACTCACCATATCCATTATAGTAATGGTCCCATAAGCAAATACTATGGCGTTTGGTGGGGTTGCTACTGGCAACATGAATGCATATGAGCAGGCTATAGTTGCTGGAATCATGAAATAATACGGATGGATTCCAAGGCTAACACCCTGTAAATGGAGAAAACAAAACACACACTTTTGTGATTTGGTTACGCCACTTGAAATGACATGACATGCTAACTAAACGGTTGAGTCTTACCAGTTCGCCTAGAATCGGCAGGAATATTGACGCCGTAGACGTGTTGCTAGTGACTTCGGTGAAGGCGGCGATGAGGGTGGTGATCACAAACACCATGGCAACAGGTGGTATATTGGCTAACACGACAAGTTGTTTACCGATCCACACGGATAGCCCCGATACCTGCAAACACACGTAGCAAAGAGAGTGAATACAGTGCTGATCAAATGAGATGCCTGGTGACTGACTGTAGGGTCTCAGTCACTTGAATATCAAGACCCTCTCCTCCAAATTAAAGTTTAAAATTAAATTAAAGGTAATGTTATAATAATTCACACCTTGCAAGCATCAGCCAGTGCGAAACCACCTCCCAGTAGAATCACAACATCCCACGGTAGCTTTGTATTCACTGTATGCCAGTCCAATAACGCCTGCTTTGGAGCTGGCAGCGAATCGTCTGAAAAAAATGCAATATCGGTAGTAAGAAACTGGGATTCTAATCTGATAGAGATCATTTCCCGGATCAAACGTGTACATCATCATTAAAGAGGCGATGGTAGTCGTGCAGCGCATGTTCTAACGTATTTTACGTCGCTATGAATCCCATGTCGAACAGGGACGTGGCGCGCCGACCACCGTCCTTTAAATCCAAAGTTTGTATGACCAAGCTGTTCATACTCGCATATAAATAAGCATGAATCGATAAGCCCACAGCTTATACAATTTAACGCTAACACAATTTTTAATACGATGTTATATCGTATTATTATATATATTAATGCTCACAGTAATTATTCTAACTTACCGTTCTTGTGACGCAAACATCCAAAGTTGGGAGGACGTGAGGGGAAACAGAATAACAGTACAGCGATGAATACACCGGCCGTGGAGTCTGTAACATAACTGTGTGACAAGGGAAACACATGGCAATCAGTCCAAGTGCCTTGAACTACCTTTCAGAAAATGTGTTTATATGAATTCCTGTGAAAATTGTTCTAAAAATGACCATTTTTGGCATTTTTTCATTTTATTTCCCCAAAAACCTTGATTTGTACCGGGTAATAACAAAATTCAAAATGCTACAGCATATGTCGTTAAGTGGACTGAGGTGAAGGCTCATAATGGATAACCACAATTGTTGCACTACTAAATAACGTATTAAACTTTGGCAAAATTTTTGGAACTTACTATTTTTATCCATTTTGGCTTTCATAAAGAAACTCTAAATGTTGAAAGTGAATGTATTTACCCCGGTATGAACGCGGTTACCCATCCAGGTGCGAATTTGGGGTCTCTTGCCAACCACAGTAAGGCTAGTAGAGTGAAGTGTCCGAGTACAGCCTTCTCCGCCCATCTGTAAATTCAGTAAAATTAAATTAATACCATCGTTATGACGTAAACTGGTACGCGAGTTAAAGCAGAAGGGGTGTCACCTGCGCGCGGACCGGAATTGAGTCCCAGGCTACGATAACGACACATGCTAGAAACGCAAAGGCTCATGGGTAGTAAACGCCCGGTTTACGTGTATTTTTGATAGATATGATAGAAGCGTTATCACCAGAAATATGAATGGCCCTAAATATACAATTAAGATGTGCATTTCACTTACGTCATAGGTCCCAAACAATTGTATTGTTTTCGAATCACGCCACTGACAGGGTCGTGTTCCTTCTCAGTACCCTTGCGTCTACAACAACACGAACACGAATCTTCGCAGCATTTTCCACAATTTCCACGAATGCACTGCGAGAACCAGCCTACAATAGTGCCTCTGTGATCAATGCAGAAAAGTTGATAACGTGTGGAATGGGGTGTGAAACGTAATGTGTGATTGCAGTAATGCAAAAGTAATGTGGTTACAATCTGTTATGAAAAGCGCCCTCATACTTATGCTCGCTAAAAAAGGAGCCGAGTACCAGTATATCGCATGATTCAATTGTTTATAGATGTGTATATGACTTAATTAAAATAATGGCGAGTTCTAAATCACCCACTACAACACATCCCTTTTTTCTAACTTCATCATGATGTTATATTAAATACACTGGCTCACTAACTTAACAGCGCCAGCATGCGGTGAAACTGGGAAACTCACAATAGATCGAAGTACAGAAACTGCAACCAGAGCCATGCTATGAGGAGACATACTATCATGACAGGAAATGCGTAGATAAACCAGGAACCGAAGTCAATCACAGCTTCCGGTCCGTAAAGACTACAAAATATAACAAGAAATTGGTAAACATTTACTAATGACGTCATCGTATATCTTGCGTTCATATCAATACATGTATTCCACTACATGCAGTTCCAAGTAATAAATACATTTTGCCTTTAGTTTGGCAATAATTTATTTCTTTTCTTTTCGGAATATCACCGATTCTATTCTGACTGAAATACTACCGGTAGTAGAACAATTTGTCGCACAATCCAATCATAATCTATGTCTGAGACTACATGACAGGACTACTATGTACATCAATTCTACTATCACAATATCATTATGGCGATTTATTGAGCTATCACAGTGCAAATCAGGTTCGGTAATATACAAACAAGAAGCACCGATGCCCGAGAGTGGAGTACTTCCATTGGAAAGCTGTAAATAGGATACTATTCGGACATCGCGCCTGTTTATGTTTTGCACACGCGCGCACATCGCCCGAATCGCGCGGTTTTGTGAACTCAATGTAAACATGCAGGGCAATCTCCCAGGCATAGTTCTACGTATAGGTTAGATCATCAAACCGACTTAGCACTGGCCAATTAGCCCGAAAAAAGATTGAATTTCGTATTAGCCATTCAAATGATGACATTTTGACAACAATCAAACTTGTGTTTTCTTGCGTTTTTCAGCCGTGATCTAAGTGAATTCATGGTGAAATAGAACCACACTTTATTGCGACTCCGATTGGTCTAGGGCTGTTGGCCATGTGCTGAGAATATATATATACTTTCCGTGATCTAACCGCAAGGAACTTTGGGAAGGACAATGCATACAGGGGGAAGAACCAGTCGTTCGCGCCCCAAGATAAATTAACGGCATTGTTCGCTGTTCTTATTTTAAGTATATGTGTATGCGTCCCTGTTAATAAATCAACTCATGTATAACTTTGTCACAGTAGAAATTGAGTTAGTGTTCAGATCGGCGAGAGACATTTATTATCAGACATTCGAATGCTTGCTGGTCAAAAATTAGACAAATTACGTCACAGTGAGACGTCCTATGAACCGTCAGATGGGTTCGCTTTTTTGAGCCAAAGTTTCGGGAAAGTGGTAAACAAATTTAGAATTCATGCTGAAACTATAAATATCAATAACAAAAATCGTTCAAGCCAAATTGTTAAAATCCTTCATGAATGTTCATCACTCGTGCCAAAAAAAGAACCATTTTTTTTCAGAAAATTGCAAAAGGATATCCGTTTTCGCATTTTTGATATGTGGAAAAGGGTGGGGATGCGATGCCGACACACCTCCGCAACTTCTCCAGGTTACGGTACTGATGTGTAAATGAATGGTCTAAAATGACGGATCTCGTCCAGTGATTTTGGTCTCTTTTTTGAGGTTGTGGTAGATTCATCCAGGGTAGGGGTTGATCATTCCCAGGTAGAATATATACAAAGGGACATACTGAGTATTCATCCGATTCAACCACCACTGCGATACCGGTGACCATACACAAACCGGCGGCTTACCTTTCAAGTTGTCCACTGAGTACCAAATTAGGTGGCGTCCCCGTCAGAGTGCCTGTGCCACCAATGTTAGCAGAGTACGCTATGCACAGAGTAATTCCTTTAGCAAAATTCTTCTCTTCTTTAGTCATGGCATCATTGTCTTTTAAATCTCCAATTTCTATATTATTCGCCTGGTCAACACCGCCCTGTTTAGTTTGTCTAGAAATTTACACACAGCTTTTACCACATGATAATTAATTTAAATAAAAATATTATTCGATGCGCTAAGTGTGGATATCTTATAAACTAAATTTGTGAAACGATCACATTAAAGCGTGGAGTCGTCACCTGCGCATGCGCCAGATGGCCAAAGCGTGTCATTGTTTACAAACAAGCGTCTACCCACGAGCCTTTGCGTTTTTAGCTTGTGTTGTGTGCGCAGGTGACGACCTTCCCGCTTTGAATAAATTAGAATTAATCATACGCATTGGATAAACTTTCTTCAAGTTCGATTTCTTCGAATGTTGTTATCTTCTCCTTTTCCTGTAGACCATCGTTTTCAGGCTTGTCGTCTCTTGTAAACCGGTCTGTCGATGCCTTTATCTTCGATATTTTGTCAAACTGAAAACAAATGGTACAAAAATGTGGCGAACATGAATTAGCAGGAAAACAAAACAAACAAAAAACAGGACGAAGCTATAATGTTATTCCCATGGCAATATACACATTGTCGATTTTCATTATAGCGTCACTGTATATGTTGTGTCAGGGTCAGTTATGTATAAGAACGCAGCAGTGGAATAAATGTGCAAATAAACAAGAAAATGTGACAGAAATGAGGTATGTTGGCATCAAGGACGTTTGGTGTTATTACAACTTCGGTTTTAGTCTGGAAGGTGCGACCTCGTGTGGTATCAAAACGATTCCATCGTTTACCTCTCTTTTCTTCTCTATCAGTTCAACGATAACGGCATGTGCTATGGGTATCATCATAGCGGCAGTGGCCGTGTTACTCATCCACATCGACAAAAACGCCGTAGTTGTCATGAATCCAAACATCAACCTAAAACGAAACAAATTCATTTCAGGATAACATAGTACATGTAGCAACATGTTCATTTCCTGATAAATCACTCAGTGTGGACACTAATACTCAAACTATTCGATTTGTCTCGTGGAGCGTTAAGCTTAATAATATAAACACGATAACATAATGCTAAATACTCTAGAATATAAACATAACCGATCTGTAAATGTGGATATCTGTATGTGCATTAATTGCGTCGAACATGACTGAGATATGTGAGGTTATTTCCTCAATACACACAATAGATGTTGGTAAATTTAAAATAATGGAGTGCGCATAATAATGTATAACGTTTGTGAACATAATATTATATTCCAGGTAGGTCTCGGAAGTCACAGAATGCAGTACATCGATCCCGGACGAGTGAACACGTCCAGGAAATCATCAAGCCGCATTGCAGCTCTTACCAAGCTGGTTTTGTTCCCACCAACAACAACACTCGCAGCGCTATCCTGCGATGTAGGTTCCATTTCTCTACAGCTGTGGCTACGATGAGACCGCTGACAAACAACATGTTGGTGTCCTTCAGGTAGTTTGAACACGTTTGCTTGGAGTCCATCACTCCTAGTGTCGGAAATAGAACCATGGGTAGAAGGGCGGTCACCGCCAATGGTATTACCTCAGTCACCCAGTACACGGCCATTATTAATATAGCATAGGCACAGTAAGCCTCCTGAAATGAAATATAACATCAGCCATATTAGTGTTATACTTTAACCAAACTTGTATTAGGATCATATCGATAAATAGGAAAGGCAAACGTTACCTACTCCAGTTTTATGAAAAAATATACTCCATGTGCACATGGTTGAAACCAGTTGTTTACATAATTGCATGCGGGCCCGGGCTTTAGATTTCCAGGACAAACATTACACATTAAACTCTCGTTCACGTTCTTAGAAAACTGTTTATTACCGTTCACTGTGTGAATCCATTGCAAACTGTCCCCGTTCACAGAAAATATGACATTTTTCAGAGCAAAATCGTTCTCCCATGACCGAGAACCGTGTTAATGTATCTACTTACTGACCACTTTACTGAATGGGCTACAAACCTCCATCTTTTACCAGCTATACGATTTCATTTCATAACACGACGTAACAAATGACAATTTTTTTATTGAAAATCAAATATTGGCTTTTATACTTCCACGAACAAAACGTTCATGTTTTTGAATGAAAATAAATTTTTTTCCCAAGCCCAATAAATGCCATTATTATGCATCTGTCACCGTAGTACTTCCACGAACAAAATGTTCATGTTTTTGAATGAAAATATTTTTTTTTTCCCAAGCCCAATAAATGCCATTATTATGCATCTGTCACCGTAGTACCATAAGTTACAGCGTGCCGCAATTTTGCGGTATTGCACTTGGTATTTTCATCCTACCATAATAGGAAACGCGAATTACAATATGGTACGATTAAACGCGTAAGCGTCCTCTAATAATAATAAAAAAAAACATGACTGCCCCCAGGTTTTGACCCACACACGAAGAAGTTTGCTAAATTTGTTCTAAACTTTTTTGATTTAGGCATTTCCATGATGTATTCC